TGTGTGTGTGTGTGTGTGTGTGTGTGTGTGTGTGTGTGTGTGTGTGTGTGGTTATTAAAGAAGTCAACCAAACGCTCAGGAAACATAAAGTGAGCAAACACCCACTGATAACAGCAGAGCCAATCAAGGCCTTGTCTCTAGAGTCATTAGAGAGAGGTGCACGAACTAGTGAAACACATGATTGATGAAGCTGAGCAAAGTGTTGACCTGTAGAAGAGTTGCATCGCTGCAGGTTTGAACCAATGCTTCTGTGCCGTAGCGTTTGATTGAAGCAGAGAGTTGTATGTATCTGACTTTACGGCAGTGGATGTCGTGCTCTTCTCTGAGCCCTCAGACTTCACGACGGATACCTTTATGTTCCTCTCCAGATCCCAGACTTTAAGTTCTGCATTAAGTACAATGTTGAGGTCATTGCACTTGAGCCACTGATTCATAACATGACGACCTGTGGACCGAGATGCATGGCAGTGTATTAAAGTTAATAATAATAAATTCGATTTATAAAGCACCTTTCATTGCTCACAGCAAGGTGCTCCATGAGGCATAATAAAAATAAACAAAAGTTTAATCAAAAGCTTTTTTAAAAAGAAAGGTTTTTAAGTTAGCTCCACCTTGACCAGCAGCAACATTACAATGAACACGTTCAGAACATTAAGGATTTCCATTTGTTCTCTCAGGACTTTTACTTGTAGCAGGATACTTCTACTTTGTCGTATTACTACTTTGACTCAAGTTAAAGATCTGAGTTCTTCTCACACCTCTGAAAATGAACGCCCAGCTGAATAGTTGCAGCGAGTTGAGCTGAATTACAGGAAGGGTTAGAGTTCATCCTGTTAGTCCTGTTTTAAACTATTGGATACTCATAAAAGAAGGACAGGGTGTGGAGCTGAAACCTGGCCAAGTTACGTTTGAGTGTTGGAGCAAGTAGTCAGATCCTTTCCTCGAGTAAAAGTACTAATGCTACACTGTAAAAATACTACAAGTGAAAGTCCTGCAGCGAGAATGGTCCTTAAGTTTAGGTAGACTCAGAAAAATGTACTCTTTGAAGAAAAGTCTCAAACACATTTAAAGCACGCCCGCTTTGTTGAGTGTTCCCTCTTATCGCTTGTTGTGTCCCTATTCTTCTTTTAGGGGGTTTCCCTTTGATACAGTTTTGTGTGCATGGAAATGGTCTGCAAAGGTTAACATCCCTTTGTTCCCTACAGAGGGAGTTTCTCTCCCACACACTCTGGTTTCAGTCAGAGGGTGAAAAGAGGCAGTATGAGAAAGATAGATAACATTGAGCATTAAAGCGTGGAGACGTGTCACAGAAGAGGCTCTGAATTCTGACACCTCAAACATATCAAATCAAATCATTGAATGAAAACAAGCAAATCTAAGTTATTGACACACAAAGAAATCTCAACAATGTTTTTAATATATATAATAATCGATATTCAGATGGATGCCAATCTACCCACTAATTGCTTTGTTGTGAAATATGTTTGAGGGTTTAATCGTCACGTGCTTCACAACAAACAAAGACATTTCATTATGTGCTATCTAATGCTTTTGTAGAAATACTTTGTTCTAGGACAAGAAGAAGAGTTCTTTATTTTTATATATTGTTATATCTGTTTAATAAAGTATTTTTGTTTGGAACATACATCTGCACTGTTTCATTCTGTAACCCTGATTGATACTCTTACACATGCATGTAGAAATGTTCCCTAACGTGCCGCTCATAACACACAGCAGTCTTCATTATGTTCACGTGTTGTGTCTGCACTTCGATCAGGAGAGACTTCATTTTGTTTAAAGGACATTTATTGACACACGTCACGTGATAAATGTGAAGTCTTTGGAGATTAGCCCCCGATCCTGAAATGGTATATCTAAAGGTGGAAATGCAGCCGTGAGCATATAGGGAGCCTCCCGGGGTCTAGACACTGGTGATGATGATGAAGATCTGTATTTGATGAGGAGATGGGATGAAGAGGAGGTGGATGGGGAGGAGGTGTGATGAGGTCTTAGGAGCAGCTCTCCTGCACTGGATGTGATGAGAGGAGGTGGATGGAGAGGAGGCGGGAGGCAGCATGAAATCACAGCTGACTGCAGGAGAGAGGAGAACCATTTTAAAGTTTGGCTGCTGCCCGGTGATTGGCTGCTGAGATTGAGGTGAATGTAATAGGTTAGCAGGAAGCCTGTGATGAGCTGATTATAAGCAGCTGCGGAGTGAATGTATAGTCTTACTGAAAGAACTTGCGCTGAGCTTCATATGACAGTGGACTGTGTACATGCGGATACATCAGCAACGTGCCATTTAAAAACAAGAACAGAAACTGCGCTGTGTTATTTCCATCTTATTGACCTTCATCTATGACACATATGGGGAAATCCCGAGACGCAGACATGAAACCATGACTGTTAGGGAGTTTCTTTTACTATATATATAATCTAGCACTTCTCCTTTGGCGCCTCTTGAACGTCAGGTTGTTTTGTCACTTCTGTTTTCGATCTCAAAGCGGAAAAAAAAGTGATTTTATGATTATGTTTGTCCAATACTTCTGTAAGCTGGTCTTCCTGTGTTGTTTTGGTCCGACCTCAGAATTGTATTTACATTTTTGCTTAATAGTGCATTTGTTGTGATAATTTGTTTTTAATAGAGGGGTTTAGTGTAGTAAAGTGTAACAAAGATGTTAGGGTTATTAGTGAGTATACGCTGCTTTAAAATTAGAAAATATTTCTAAAATGCTTGTTTCAGTGTTTTAGGTTTTAGTTTAAAGCCAATTAAAGATTTCGTTATTAGAAATGAATGTTGGCACTTAATTTTAGGAAATAAAGTAAAGATTCTGGGCATTTTGAGGTAAATTTGATTTGTTTATTTATTTGATGCTGGTTCTAGTTTGAAAAATTAGAAGTAACAATAGTTGGTTCAGTTTTAAGCTGCTTTTGCGTCCTGATTTTGTCATTTCAATCGGTGCTGGTGCTCTACTGCACAAACACTCACCATTTCAAGAAGATTTCACATTATTAATTATATTAAATATTGTTTTTAAAGGAGAGAAAAGTTCTGGTCATTTCTGTGATTCACCTTTGTCTTTTTTTATTTTTTATTAAATGTATGATAAGGTCAAGACATTATTTGTACCTGTGTGTTTAAGGTGCATGTTACTTATGAAATAAAATCCTGAAAGCAACTTTTATTTTTGTTTTATGGTAAGTCCATGTTAAGGGTTGCGATGAGTTTGCTCAATGTGGGGAATTGGTTTGACACGTTTATTTATTTCAAGCTGTTGAACAATTTATTCTGAAAAAACAAACAGATAATTTGATTAAACTCTGAGTAGAATAAATCCCTGTTTTTGTTTTGTCCATTAAGTAAAAAAAGAGCTGTTTTACCACACAACATTGTACCGTTACTGAATGTTTTGACCCGTAAAGTACGCATAATCATAACATCTTCCTCGGTGTCAAGTGTGTAACACCCTAACAATAACGCTGATATTCATAGTTGATTATAATTTGCTTAAAAACTCCTCTTTTTCTGTGATTTCCTTGTCAACACGGAGATGGAATGGGCGTTACTATTCTTTCCATGTCTAGTGACGATGCACTGCCCAGTCATTGGTCGGTTAAGACCATGTGACGATGCACTGCCCTGTCATTGGTCGGTTAGGACCTGTTAGAACTTGGTCGCTAAAGTGTTAGGAATTGGTAGGAAAGCTGTTAGGAACTGTTAGGAACTGTTAGGAATTGTTAGGTAACGTGTTAACTTTCCATCGCCAGAGTCTGCGTCATATAAATACGTCATAGGTAACGGTTTATGTCATCAGTTGTCGTGGCCGCCACCTCCGCCGGTTGGACTGCCAAAATTATACATATATAGAGGAGATAGAGGATGAAGAGGATATAGAGGAGATAGAGGAGAAAGAGGATAAAGAGGATATAGAGGAGATAGAGGAGATAGAGGAGAGAGAGGAGATAGAGGAGATAGAGGAGAGAGAGGAGAGAGAGGAGAGAGAGGAGATAGAGGAGATAGAGGAGAGAGAGGATATGTGTGTGTGTGTGTGTGTGTGTGTGTATACACACACACACACACACACACACACACACACACACACACACACACACACACACACACACACACACACANTTTTTCTATGCTAAACGTTTCAACATTTTGTAAATGGGTGAAAATGAAATGGGTTTATTGGCCTTAGAGTACTATAAAGTCTCCTTTTTTCTTTCTTTCTTCCCCCTCCCTTTCCCCCCTCCTTTTCGTCTTCTTTCCCCCACCTAATAATCCCTTTTGCCCCATTTTTGGCAGAGTGGTTAAGGCGATGGACTAGAAATCCATTGGGATCTTCCCGCGCAGGTTCGAATCCTGCCGACAACGTCACTTTTATTTTTCATTCTATGTTCAACATAAACACATTTACATATGTTTACTCTTGCATTTATCTCACTTTATATTGTGCGTTAGTGGCATTACGCTGAGCTAAATGAGCGTCGTGCTAACGGGTAAAGCAATGGCATCGACAAATAAGAATAATTCCTTGCACATTTAAATAAAAGCCTCAATAGGTAGACAGATGAAGGAGCTGTTTTTCCATTGAGATTTGGTTTTAAACTATAAGCATTGCATAATAACTGTCTTTCTGTTTATTCCATCTTTAGTTCCCACATCACTTGTGGATTTTCTAGGAGAATAAACAAAGTAGGCCTGTGTGGCAGATAATGAAGCTTTAAAGACTGGGTCCACACGTTGAAATTGTACATTTGTAAATGCAAGGAGTTAATGTATGTCTGCCAACGTGTACAAAAACAACTTATTTATGAGGTAAATATGAAAAGTATGATCTCATCTGACACTGAAACGTAATGAGGAAATACACCTATCTCTGATCTGGTAGTGTTAATTTAAACTAACAATCTAATGTCTCAATGTGGAACAAATCTGCTCAAATCATCAGTGTCAGTGTCACGTAATCAGGTAACTATGAAAAGCAAACAGTGCCACATAATACGCCACTATCCGGCTATGCTCAAAGTGAATTGTCATGTTACCTGAAGGCGGGCGGCGTCTCTCCACTTCCGCTCTTTCCTCCCGTTACTTAGCAACCAACTAAAGCTTTTAGCTTGCTAGCTGGGTTAGCACAAACAACCATGGACGGTGATGGCGACGATCTGGACGAACTGCTGGATGAAGTTGAAAACAAGTTTTGTAAAAACGTTTCTGTCGGATGTTCGGCCCGCGTGGACCCGAAGGAGTCCCGGAAAGACAACGAAGAACAGAGAACACAGAGGTAAACAAAGCTAACAGAGAACACAGAGGTAAACAAAGCTAACAGAGAACACAGAGGTAAACAAAGCTAACAGAGAACACAGAGCTAAACAAGGCTAACAGAGAACACAGAGGTAAACAAGGCTAACAGAGAACAGAGGAAACAGAGGTAAACAAAGCTAACAGAGGTAATCAAAGCTAACAGAGTAAACAGAGGTAAACAAAGCTAATGTACTAGCTGTTGTTAGCTATACGCTATCAGAGTGTGCTGTTCTGTGGCTGTTTCTTTCACTGTCTTTATTTTAACGTGTAAGGATCTGAATCCTTAACAAAATACCTTTACATAAAGTATACAGTATGAGGTATACATTCAGGGCTAAGGTGTATAGCATTTGGTAACATTGTTGGGCCTGTTTACTTGCAACATTTAATGATTTTTTTTGTATATTTCCATGTCGAAATACATGTATTAATTAACTAATTTCGTCTGATTAGTGCCACTAAACCCAAACAGTCGATGAGCAGCGTCGCTGACGATATTGACGCCCTCCTGGAGGAATTACTGGAGGAAGACTACAGCGATTCCCCTCCACGAAAGGTGATCATGTACTTTATATTAAAATACTGATATCACCTTCCCAATTATTGATTTTCTCCACATGGACAACTTTAAACCACACATGTTTTCTCAGATAAAGATTACACTGTTAGAACACCTGTATCTGTGTGATTAAACATACTTTGCTGAAGAAAATAGATCATTTCAGAATCAGAATCAGAAACGGGTTCATTGCCACATACAAGGAAATGACTTGATGTCATACAGAAAATATAAAACAAAATCTAATATAAAACAAAAAATATTTTAGGACACTAATAAAATATAGTTAGATAGCAATACAATAAGCAGTAATTTACAGCAAAATAGAATGCAGTAAATTATGAAATATGAAATAAGAATATGCAGTAAGCAGTATTTGAACATTGTGTTTATTAATGTAATGCATATAGAGTCTACGTTGTGTCAGTGGCCCCCCACTGACACAACGTAGACTCTATATGCATTACATTAATAAACACAATGTTCAAATACTGCTTACTGCATATTCTTATTTCATATTTCATAATTTACTGCNAAAGTGTGTCCTGGCAACCAGACAGGCCTTTGTGATACGCGTGTGTCCCTTTGTCCTAGCACTGCTATATTGTTTCTAACTAGAATGTCTCTCCATATAGGAAGCAGTTTTTCCTGAAAGTAAGAAAAGTGTGAACATTTACTTTTTTCCGCCACAAAGACTTCAAGTGAATGAAGTTTACTCAGGGGAACATTTCAATGTACAGTCTGCATTTCCATATGAATAAAGAAATCAAGTAAAAGTAATTTAATTAAAATGGTAACATCTTGAATGAACTGAAATAATGTCTACACTGGGAGTAAATCCAATCAAATCCTCTCAATGGAAAGTACGGTCTAACAACAATTCATTTTATTTACAAAGCACACTTCTTGTATATGTAATTAAAGTGATTGTCATTTTGCAGTTTCTAGCAAAAGGAAACAATGTATTTTTGTTTTTATTATTCCTTCTGAACCAGTGTGATTCTGCCCTTAACATTCTCTGACAAGCTGTTTAAAATCTTTAAAATCTGCAAATTAAGGGATGCTTTAGCTGTACAAGTATGAAAAGTTAATTTGATCTTTCGTCTTACAAAGTAGTAAAACTACTTTTACTCATTAGCCTTAGTTAATCTTATCCATAGGGAACATTTCCTACAGTTCAACTTCTTCCAGTGTAGTTTGTTGGTAGCTTGCAAAGCTATACTTATAACATCGCCAACACAGTCTCGGACTGTATCAAACGGTCTTTTAAAAAAAAAAAAATCCTTAATCACGATTGGCACCGGATCTACAGATGTCTGACCTCATGCCTCAGTATATAACTGATAAGAGCAGTCCACAGCTATGAGGTAGAGCAGCCGCTAAAAGCCCACTGCCCTTTAACCCACAGTGCACGTCACACTGAACTGCATTATTAGATGCAGATAAGGTGCTTAAATGAAGTCAACCTTTTAAAACCTCTTCAGGAAATAAAATGGATAAGAAAATAACATGTTGGCCTAATTTCTGCGTAAGACATATACCTTCAGTCAGTTTGTTGCCGTGGACTCTATAGTGTGCGTCTGAATCACAGGCAGAGGACGGAAGTAGGTGAAAGTGCAGCTTTTATGGCATGGTTCAGTCTCACTGTCTGAACGTGTACAATGTATTTCATCTTTAAGGTAACGTCCTGAAACGTAACCATAAACATGTATGGTTCCCACAACCTGTGTTTATAAAAGATGTTGTTGTGATCTGACATTCAGTACTCGTGATATCAGAGTGGCACTTGTGATGGCACTGAGGGGGTCACCCACTCCTTTAGTCTGGACTGAAACATCTCAACAATTGATTGATTGCCTGACATTTCGTACTGATTTTGTTAGTTCAGGTGATGAGTCCTCAGTCTGTTGTTTTGTTCACATCCAGACATTTATAGACACTTGGCAGAATGGCAAACAAAGATGGTATGTAGCGCTGCAGGTGTTTTTTTGCTGGCTTTTATTTGTTCAGCTGCATACTTAGATGTGGAAAACACCAACATTTAATATATAACTAATACTTTAACTTATGGAGTTACAAACTTAAGACTTGGTTGTTAGTTACCTTTTGCTGTCATTCATAATGTGGAAATAGGCTAAGTCATTAAAACAACCTTGTCTCCTTAGTTTACATTTTAAGATGTTAACATGTCCTGAGGTATACAAAGAGCATGCCTGCAGTAAATATTAGCACCAGACTTAATCATCACATAGTGAAGTAGCTGTGCTAATGACAACACATAAATACTGCATGGTGCACACACACACACACACACACACACACACACACACACACACACACACACACACACACACACACACACACACACACACACACACACACACACACACACACACACAGGGCCCTGTATTCAGTTACCATCTGAAGCTGCCATCAGGAGGCGGGCTCTGTCTGCCCAGAGGGAAGTTATCCCTAACACTTTCAGAGAGCTGCGTTTCCCTTGGCAGTGTGTCATTGGGCCGAGCAGATGTGAAATCCACATGGCAGCGTTTGGGTGAAGTTGTTGAGAGTCTTTGATGTTCTTTTTCCTGGCATGAGTTGAAATGATAAGAACTTAAATATTCTATTTGTTTTCTACCTGAGTTGCTCAGGTAACGGGGGAGAAGAAGAACCTCCTGCATCAGGGAATGTACACTGTGTGCGGTTTTAAGTTTTGAAGTGATGAACTGGAAAATAAATACAGGAGACAACATCAAGCTGAATGTGGAGCGCTTACTCTCTCTCAGGCTTCTGCTTGGACTACACTTAAACAGGCATCCATGTACAATTAATAACAAACTCCAGCTCTGGAGAAGTAGGTCAAATTCCCTTAAGGGTTAGAAGAAAGCATGGCAAATCTGCTCAGACACGGTTTGATATGCAGGGGAAGTAGCAACACTTACTTTATTCTCTCCTCTTCTTTGTGCTTCATAACATCAGCTTGTTATATAACTGGAGTGTACATGCTCAGCCTAATTCTAAAGTATGTGTTCTCTAAGTCATAAACAAGTGCCCAACCCTAACCACCATGCAGTGGTCAAGACACAAGCCTCAGATGGTCTCCACATTATCATCAGCCAGCTCTTTCATAATTGGTGGAAATTTGATTGTTATTTCGGCGTGTCCCAAATTTAACTCTTATTCCCCATCAACATTGGGTGTGAAGTAAACAATGGCCAAGTAGCAGTCATAATAAATCATAAATCTGTCATGGATTTGGCACTGATAGATGCGCACTGAGAACTAATTCCTCAGTAATGGCTGCTGCTCAGAACATCCTGCCTGCGTTTGGCAGTGGACGTAAAGGAAGCTTTCTGTACAGGACAAAAACATATAGGGATCTCTTAATTGAATATATTTACAACAAGGGATTTATTTAAAGGAAATGGCTGAAGGAAAAGGCTACTGCCTGCGTCATCACTACATTCCTCTTCCATTTACAATTCATCCCCTGAAACACCTTCCTGTGTTTTTCAGCCTGTGCTTTCAACTACGCCATTTATATTCAAACACAGCACAACCCTGACAGGACTGTTATTTTTGAACCCTTTTAATCCGGCATTACCAAAATGTACAGCAGCTCAGTCATAGTCAGATAGAAAATTGGGTCACAAATCCCATGTGATTGACTTTTGCTCTTGGCTACATCCAAAGTAGAAAATGGGCATTTGCAAAAGAATGTCAATACAATCTGATACAGTAAAAATAATTTTTTTTTTTTTTTTGGGGGCAAAACATTTAAATATATACCGCGTAAACTGTCTGATATATCATGTTTGTTTTTTTTAAAGTTAATTTGTATTTGTTTCAAATCTTTAAAAGGGTTGTAAATGCCCCAAATATTAGCAGGCTTTTATTAAAACATGATTCCATTAAAGCACAAATATGTCACAGATTATGCAAACACAAAAATCCTCAATCTTTAATAAAAAACACTTTCTATTTTTCTCTGCCTCCATGTCACCACCCACTGCAAAACCCATTTTCTGTTGGATATTTTCAACAAGAGATTAATGCAGTTGTGTGTGGTATTATAGCTACGTTTCGGATTAGTGTGTGACAACACAAAATGTTCTGTTTTCAAATGTGAAAGAGCTTAACGTCTCTGCAGTGTTTCCACTGCATTCTCTAGACATGATACGATACGCTTATCCACCTGTATCCTGATATGACTGATAGTTTTCCTGCTTGTGCTTTGAGACTGGGTCAGGCAGAGAATCAGAGCAGAGGGGTCACGACCTGACCAGTTTGGCCCCGTTTGTGGCTACATGTTAATGCATGTAAATCTGTGTCAGTTGTTGATTGATTTGAACATGTGTCACTGTTCTCAGGCTGCAGCATGTCCAATTTACAGATGTTCCATTTTGTTTACTTGTGTTCCTGGGTTAAAGTTCAACTTTTAAGATAAAAGCAAATCTTATACAACCTGCAATGATACTTGAGCTCTGCCTGGCTGGCTGACTGACTTCACAACACTCAAAAGTCTCTCCCTCCTTGCTGTCATCAGTGTCCTTGGAGTGTGTTTAATAGCAGTGATGCATGAGGAAGAAAAAGATAGGGGAGAGAAAGAGAGAAGCATCCTCATCCAAAGGGTCAATAAAAAAGAGGGGTTCAAACTTCAGAGACAGGATTTGAAGTCTGACTCATCAATTGCTGCTGCTGCACTGATTATTAGCAGACATATTCACAGTCCAGTGGAGCTTGTCATTTCTCAACAAACGAAGTCTCTTTGTTTCGACTCAACTCTCTCCCCTAGTCTGACAGTGACAAAGGACGTGTTGGCCTTTCAGAGTGGGATTCACCTGGGGGGCTGGAGAGAGAGGGGAGAGTCACAGCAGGTAGTTGCTCCACACAGCCTGACATTTGACAAGAAAACACGTTGTGCCCTTTCTCTTCTCACCAAGTGTCCTCTGAAACCACAAGTGCCAGATTGTTTCAAGACAGCAGGTTAACTAACTTATCGGGACAGCTTTGCAAATTATGTCAACAGCAGTTTGAATAAGGGGATTCCAGGTTTGAAAAAAAACAAACAAATACTTTTTCTTGTTAAGAAATAGAATATATAAATAAAGACTTAATTTACAGAGAATATTTTGACAGCAGTTTGACTGAGGGAATTCCAGTTTTGACCGTCAGCAAATCAGCTTAAGGGAACAACTTGAGTGTTGTGACAGAAATGAATTGTCAGCCAAGTGCAGTTATTCAACTTCTTTTTGCTTGTTTACCCATTTAAAGCTTTATAAACGACTCATGGCCTTGGTAGACATTTGTGAGCACTTTTACCAAACAGAATGTTTTTTCTTTTCTGCTATTTGAGGGATTATCTCAGTCCCAAGGAGATGAACACATGCCGTATTTTGCCTTCACAAGACAAGGCAGGTTAAAAAAGGAAATAAAGACAAATTAGTTTTTTTTCCTACCCAGTGATCTTCGGCTCCACAGCCTTCCGGTCAAGGTTTTTTTTTTTTGACAAAACATGCAATAATGTCAGACAAATGCAGTTTGTTTTTAAAAAACTTTAATACTTTCTCTTGTTAAAAAAACTGAATATATAAAAATGATTTATTTCTGGTGGCTTTTGCTTCAGAAAACAGAAACAAATCGCTACTTGCACAATGTGAAAAATAAAAGTCCTTCCCCTTCGACTGAGCTTAATCGAGTCAGCGTCAAAGAAATAAAAGTTTTCCTTTTCTTACCAGAAAAAAAGTCTGTGGAAAGTTTATAATAAACACGATGTCGCTGCTACATTAAGGCCAATCCCTCTACAAACATCCTTGGTAAAGTGACAATGTTTTTGTTTTCTTAAATAGTCTTTTGAAATTAAATAAAACTGAAAAGCTTTTCAAAAAGCAAGCAAGTATTGCACAGACAGATCTCCTAGTACCCATTAAAAGAATATCGAAACAGGAACTCAATAGTACACCCTCGAGAAAGAAATGTATAGCTGAGGTTTTTAGAGGAAGCAGCTGCTGTTGGAAAAATCCAACATCCTTTGTGAAAGTAAGATACTGCATTTCACACTCAAGGTCACATTTCTAGTTTGCTAAAAGAACCACATTTAATCCAGAGATCACATAAAACTGGACCATGATGGCCTTAGCACCCGATTAGTATGCACCGAAACACCCTGAGCAGCTGCTTAGCCTCCAAAGACCCCCTAATTGGCATAGAGAACAAGAAATTAAATATGGATTAAAAACAGATTTCACTCTACATAAAATTCAGTTCTCAAATCCAAAAACGGAAGCGTTAAAATAAAGACGGGTAATGTGTTAGGCATTTCTAAGCACATACTTTTACGATATGGATATGGGGCTAGGAGTCTGATATGGAACGAAGAAAAAACAAATGAATAAAACAATTCTGTACCAGGTCAACTGATGCAATAACTTAAAGGACAATAAGGGCCTAATCTAAAATCATCTTGTGGCAGGGGCCATCTTAAAATAAGATTTGGACAGATGACATGCAAACAAATACTAAGAACCAACAAGACAAAGTGACAATCCAAAGGGAAATGACAATAACACACACACACACACTAACTGAGGGAGTGGTTTGAGTGTGTCCATCTTTGAATATGCTCACGAGCTGAATGTTTGGTAGTTCTTGGATTCCAGGCAGGAAACACAGATGGACGAGGAATGTTTCTTTTTTCGTGAAACCTCAATCTGGCTGGTTTTGCTTCAAAGTGTTCGTAATGGAGTTTGGTGGAGTTGTCTTTATGTGTGGTAGATCTTGTGCTCGTACTCTGTTGCAGAGCAGCTGTGCGGAGAAGCCAGTTCTCTGTGGATGGGAGCGGGGGGGCTGCGGTGCTGGTGGTTGTCGGTCAGCGTCAGGTTCAGCAGGCTGGTGCAGGTGGGCAGGTAGACGTGCTGCACGTGCTCCACCTCCGACCGACACACGGGACACAGCTGAGGGACAGGAAAGAGAAAAGTAGTAAGCATCGGGTGTTTGTTTGTTTACTCGCGTTAAGGACATTTGAGGTGGTTACACTAAGACGTGAACTCCTTCACTGTCCCATAAAACTTTGGTAATATATTTGTCTATGCTTATCAAAGGGATCTCGAGACAATAAAGCCCTCAAACACATTTCCTGGCCACTTCCAAGAAAGAAAATGACCTAAGAAAAGTTAACAATGTGACAAATCGGGTCAACCCACATTTCCCAGCAGATGCATGACATTAAAACTAAAAATGTTAAAGGTGCAAGGCAAGCCAACAAAATAAGTAACCGTTATCACACAGTAGGCGGTGTCACGGAAACTTGCTCTCCAATCAAATGAGTCGTGGAGAGGACTGTTGACTGCCATCAAGGCAACTAATGAGTCACCACTCGGGTCATCAAGCCAATGTTAAGACTGAAGGACATGCTGGCAAATATCCTTCAGAACACAAGCTAATATTAAAATCAGGAAAGCTTGTAATGGATTGCTATAATGGGAAAACAGCTTCCATAATCACGCTGAAAGCTGTGGAACTCTCCTTCTGCCCTTGAGTTTCTACTGACTCATTACCTGGGTCACGTTTCTTAGTAAATGGAAGTAAGATCTGCCTGGCTGCTATAATCCCTCCATAAGACACTCACACACTGCATCTGGCTTCAGAAAGAGGGGCAACATTTTGCTGATTAAGTGAGGGGTCAGCAGAGAGCAAGCAGAGCTTTGGATGTTGCTCAGAGGACTATAAAAAAGGATGGAAGTTAAAACTTAAAAGTATGATTAAAGAGCTTTAGGAAAACAAAGCAAACTTCACTTTAATAAAATACTGCTTCTAAGGTGGTGTTGACATCAGCATATGCAATATATTTATATAAATAGTTATCCACGCAATAAACCATATTTAAAATGTGTCTTAATTTAAATTATTTCATATTCCGTTCTTGTACATATCATATTCTATTTACATGTATATAGACTTTTTGCACTACTTTTTATTTTTGTACATTATATGTTGGATTGTTGGAGGAGCTCAGGTCAGAAGATTTGCATTGCCATTTCTACACTGAAGCTAAATCACAATAAAAACCTTTGAATCTATACCAAATACCAGCAGTGGTCATTTCTCAGAATATGACAAGTGGAAAAGCTAACCGCACTAATGATAAAGCCCCCCCCAACGTGGCTTATAAACAAACTCATCAGTCTTCCCGGTCTACACACACAGAGAGGGAACAACAGTCTCACCTGCAGCTGGTTTGCGCAGCTCTGGCAGCACACCATGTGTCCGCAGGGGCAGAACGCAGCGTCGATCTCCTCCTCGCAGCAGAGCACGCACAGCAGAGCCTCCCGGAGCTTCTGCAGCCGCTCCTGCAGTGCTCTGCTCTGCTGGCAGCTGCCGCAGTCCAGCCCCTCGTCCTGGGGGTCGTCTCGGCTGGGGGAGCGTGAAGGAGAGGAGCGCTCACCGCTGCCAGAGCCCAGGTCAGCGACCCCCGAGTTGTAGAGGGCGCGGCGGGCCTGGTCGTACACTTCCTTGGAGGTGCGTCGGATGTCGAAGACGTACTTCTTGCCAAGGTTGATGTTCTCGTTGAGGAAAAGGGAAGCTAGGTGGCCCTTAAAGTCTCTGCTGTACTGCATCATCACTGCGTTGGTTACTGTGTCACACCTAGAAATGAAATAAGATAGAATGTGATTACGGTTAGCAAAATCAGAGCATTTGAACATTTTACAAGATAAGTACTTTAATGATCCCAATTTGGGAAATGTTTGCTTTGCAGCAGCATAGAAAGACAAGGTATAGTACATAAGAGAAATTAAAAAGACTAGAAATAAACAATCCAAAATGTAAACATCTCAAATAGAAATAAAATAGCATTTTAAAAAAAAGTAAAAAATATACATGTGGAAATACAAACTTACATTAACAAAATATAAAGCAGGATATTATATATACATTAATTGTGCCAGGAGTGGATTATTAAATTGAATATAAATGTACAGCCTCTTCTTGCCCAAACTGTGGAGGGTATGTCTGTTTATCCAATACTCCATTTGCACTTAATATTCAGGAAACTCATGTTCATCCTGTGAACACCTTCACTGCTATGAGATAAACATTTGTTTCTGAGAAAGCAGGAAGAAGACATTCCTTCCAGACTCTGAGCTAAAACCCATCCCTGAAACAAAAGGACAGGGCTGTCTTTTGTACCTTTGTACCTCTGTGACTGACTGACAACAATTTCATAGCTCAGCCATTTGAATTGTTCCTGCTCACTGCAAGATTCTGACAGACTCAAATCTCTCCGACTCTACTAAAGATGGCCCGGCACGATCTCCCTGTTCATGCACACTGATCAGGTCTATTACAGGTTTTATGGGTCCCACTTTGCAGAATTTGTACCAGCAGTTGGTCAATGTGTACAATTGTGTGAGAGTGCATACTCAGGAGCAACTACGTGCTAAATAGAGCAGAACAAATGTGCACACAACACATTTAAGGTCAGGTTTATGAATGACTAACAGCTGTAGCGAAGAGCGTAAACAGACATGAAGAAAAACAGAAATCAACTGAGAAGCTTAGCCCAAAATATATTTTAATTGATATCTTGGTTCACCACATGTCTATGGTACCTTTAATTAAGTAAGGCAGTGGAACATTGAGTAGTTATTAAACAGGCTTGAATATATTTAATTCTGACTGTACAGCTATATAGCCTTAGTCATTGATCTGGGTTTGAATACAGTATGTTGTTTATCTCTCACCTGTAGAAGGCGTGTGTCTCTGTAATGGCTCGGTACAGACCGCTGGCTGCCCGGTTACTGATCAGCTTGAACAAAAGCACCACGCTGTCATTTGTGTCCTTGGTTACCGTCAAGTACACACTCTTCCCCGACTGGGTTGCAATCTGGATGATTGGATAGCTTATTCTAAAGATGGAGCAAAATGGGAAGAAACCATTACATGTTGAATATTCTTCAATAACACATTCTGTCCTAAAACCCAAAAAGATGTATATCTGCAACATGAAGAGTACTATTAGTATGGAAGTACACAGAGCGAATTGCATTTGTCTAGTTGAAACATACCTGTTGACTAAACTGAAGTCCTCCTTGCAAATGGCGATGCCTTCAGGGCCGACTCCAATGGCGAGCCGCTGGCCGTTTGCGTCGCGCGCCCAGTGCCACTCCACACCGTAATGCTCCAGAGAGGAGACCAGCTGCAGGGCCTGGTACTCCACGGAGCCCGGGCCCAAACCCTCCAGAGCCTTGTGTCTGGAAATTATGCTGCACAGGGAGACGGGTGGGGAGACAAAGGGAAAAAAGAAATTTAGCTTTAAAGCTCAGATTGGAAATATCATTCTGACACAAGCTTTAGCATACAGATCACATTGTTACCATGGTGCAACCGGTGTGGCGGGAGTATTATACGAACAGGATGAATAACACTAGTGTTTTAGCTGTCAAAGTTAACACGCCCTCAGGCAGAGAACTGATGCTAAAATGGTTCTTTCTGACAACTATACTTATGAGATCAATACTTGGGCAGCTTAGCTGAAAGCTTATTTTAGCAATAGTAACAGCCTGCTGATTTCAGTTTGCTGGAAAATCCCAAATGCCGAGCTGTGGTACAAGTACAATTTGAGTATACTCTTATAACTGTAATAAAGTATAGCATAGCATTTGTTTTTAAAAACCCAACGTAATATGTATTTTAGTCATTTTTTGGAAGTGCAAGGACGTGCATACATAGCAGGCTGGAGGAGTGGAGGTCTGTTTCAATGCAGCACATGTCAAATCGTTTATTATAGCAGTTAGGAGAGGAGGCTTGATAATTGGAGGACACCAAAAAAGGTAAACTTAACTAATGTGCATTTAAAAAAGAGGGATAGTTTCGGCAAAAAACTAAAAAAAGGTACCATGGGGTCAGATTAGAATTTTCGTTTAGCATGAAACACTAGAAATAACTAAAGGATAAGTTAAACACGAAAGTGAGCTCATAGAAAACTATTTCTGCTAAAAAGTTAGCAATGATTGACCTAAACATTTCAGATGTGTGTCTCAAACTGCACTGTAACTTTTATTCATGTACCTTTGTTATCTTTGCTTTTAAATGAGTATTTTTAAATGCCATTTTATATATTTGCTTTTAATTGATTTTAAATGCCTTTGTATAATATGTTTCTTAATGCTTTTCATTTTTGGAAAGCACTTTGCATTGCCTTGTGTTGAAAGGTGCTATATAAATAAACTTGCCTACTGTATTATTTAAGGCTCTCTACTCAAAGAGAGCAACTGGAAAGAGAGACAATGCAGTAGTTCTTCGATTATTTCCCAGAAGTTCTAGGTGGGACAGGCATTGCTGTTTTTACACAATGCGATGGGATCTATGCTCTTGGACTCCAAAACCTTGCAGTAGCAAAACTATGTTACCCTATTCTTGTTTGCAGGGAAAACATTCAAGGTTTACAGTATGGAGGTTATGTTGATGAAACTGTGCAAACACACGCTATCTGATCTCCTATCAGCTGCCGTTTGACTGATCCGTGTGTGTGCGTGCGCATCTTAGCTGAAAAGACAAGCGTGAGATATACCGCTAATCAAAGTCTTTCACCTCTTCACTTTATATAAAAAGGCTGCAAATGTATTAAAGCCACCACCGGTAAACTCAGTGTAGCATTTTGTTGCTTTTTGATTTCTTACATGTCCTCATTTCCTTGAACACCATCTGCCACATCAGATTATTCGAGACCTTTTATTTACATATCATATCTTTATAGACTATCTCCCTCAGAGATGGGAGGGGGGCAGAAATTCAGGAGGGAACAGGTTTTAATTATTAGCCAGGGCTTGTTAATGTGTACTGTATGTATAGGGGGCTATTGGTTATGTGTTCAAATTCCAGTTGTCTTGTGTAAAATAAAAATTCCAACGTCATAAGTGGTGGTTTCATGTCAGGGTAGGGGTTCTATTACAGTAAAATGCAGAGAGAACAGAACGATTGTGGGCCAGAAATGCAATATGAAAAATGTTTTTATGCATTCATGGAATTTACTCTCCATGCTTTTCTAGAGGCCAATGTTGTGTTTCTTAAAGAGTGATGTACCTGTTCATGGTGGCCGTGCTGGGATCCTCTCCACACAGCTCGGAGTACCAGTACTTTGCTGTGTTTTGGTTGTAGTCCCCAAACTCTGCCTGTGCCAGGAGCGAGCTCAGCTCCTCAGCTTGTTCTGAGCCCATCCGTAGGTGCCCGTTATGGAGGTCCTCCTTCACGTGCATGAAGAACACGTGTCTGTCGGACGAGAAGAGAATAATACATTGGTCAAATGCCAAATCTTTGAATTGCCATTTAGGTTAATAAACTCAACAAACTAAGGCAACGTATATATTTTAGATAAAGTCATGTCAGCCATTGCGTTTCTTAAATGTGTAAAAGCTGAGGAGTCGGGGAATCTGGAGCACATAGGCCGGAGCAGGTGGTCATTACCGAGCCAGAATTGCACCACATGAGCCAGGGGGGTGTGTGAGCAGCAGAGGGAAAAGCAACTGTGATATTTGGTCGGTGGCCACAAAGACACTTTCTCTTTTTCAATCTCTTCCTCAGAAAAAACTACAAGAACTTCCTTAAGTGTGAATTGACAGCTTTAAAAGTGGAAGTGGAGAGGGGGAGAGTCGTTTTTCTCCCAGTAGGGGAAGTACTTGGACTTTTAACATGGTGAGTCAGAAGGCAAAAGTGCTTGAATTGTATCTGCTTGGGCCAATACATGACCTTGATAAGTCTCAAGTTGAATGCAATAATGGAAATTAGTTACAATGGCTGGCATCCTGTATGTCTCTGTGGCTGTTACCCCACACTCCAGCAATATGCTTATTTCAAGACAAGCCTCCACTGGTCTTGTTTATCAAGAGGGAATTCTTGTTTGGAAAAAAAAGCTGTGTTTATTTGACAGTTAGGAAAATAGTTCAAATATTAACGTTGGTCAAAAACAACAATTGCTACCATTTGGGCTGAACTAATAAATGAGAACATTGAGTTATGCTGTGGAAAAGGAAAATAGCTAAATGCTCAATACAAATAATCAACGGCAGGTCCTTTCCATTGTTTTGACCAGAAGATGTGAGGAATTCTTTCCTTCTAGCAGCAGGAGACAAAACGTCAAAAGGAATAACAACCTGAATGACTCAATCTTTCATGAAGAGTGTTGAACTAGAGTAACCCAAACTGATCCTTCCTTGAGATTACCTATGACACAGTAACCTTAAGAAGATAGTCTTAAGTCAGCTACTCCTGTGACTACAAACCAGTCCGACAGCTTGTCACTGGGCAATGTTGTTTACTGGCTGCAAATCTTTTGTATTTTGCCAGTAGACTTCAGTTGTTTCATTTTAACATCCTGGCTTTGCCATCTGTTATTATCTCAAATCAAATACCTGAATAGCCAGTGCAGCGGTGCTGATGCAGTGACCTTGTGTAACCCTCCTGATCTATAGACACTCAGCTCAGACAGCTCAGACTTGTCAATGCCAGAAATGAAAGTATAATGTTGGCTTGCTGTGCAGACAAGAGTTTTTTTTGTAGAACATTGTAATGTGTGAACAAAAAAAAAAAATGGCTGTTGAGTTTTTGGCCGACCGCATCCTGATGTGGTAGACTAAAAAGCAGAATGCGCCAGAAACTGCTTGATATTTCCGACTAAGAAAAATAAAACTCCTTCGGGCTACAGTTCTCTTTGAAGCATGATGCGAATAGAGACATTTTCATTTGTGCAAATCAGGTCATACCATGACTTGAGGATATTTTAGAGGGGACCCTTGAGTGGAGGGGGAAGGCGGCACTTAACGCACCTTTATTAAGTTAATATCAACTCATTGTGTTTTGAAAACGTAGAAAATGCGTTGTGTTGAGATGCTCGTGGGAGATACAGGAGCAATATGGAGTTTCCTCTGTCTCCTTATGGGACTCAAAGCCAAACTCTTGAGGGACAACTGAGGGCATAAGAGAATATGTACAGTTGTGTTTTGCAACATCTTCAGTGTGCAATAACAAGGCACACCTCACCAAACACATATGCACGTGCTTCCAAGGAGCAGCAACAGTAGCAAAAGCAGCTATGAGGCACACAAACAAAGCCAGTCTCCACCACCCTGACAAAGCCAGACCATAACAACGAAGCCCCATAGCTGTCCAGCCTCAGGCATAACAAACACTGCTTTGATATGGTGTTAAACATCCCATTCCCTCCAACGCACACACACACAAACACTGATCTCTATTGTGTCAGGCCCAGCAGGAGTCATGTGATGAAGCGCTGCTAGTTAGCTACCTGCCTGATGCAAACAATAGGTCTGCCTCCAGTTTATTATAGGGCAGGCTGCAGAGGTTACTATAGTTCATGAAGGGATTGGAACATGTAAATCCAGGTTACTGTGAAGCTGAGCAAGGCATTTAATATCATAAAAAGCTTCCTTCAGAACGAGTCCTGGCTTGTTAGTTTGGTGTCGTCGACACTATGCCACTTGACTCGTTTCAGGAGTGGAATGTACCGAGTACATTTATTCAAGTACGGTACTGTATGTACAATAATGAGGAACATGTTATTTTGTATGTTTATAGTTAAACTCCATTAAAATTCACTGGAAATATTGTACAATAACAGCTTAGTTGGTTAATTTAGCCAATTAAAAGATCATTATTGACATCCATCATCAAGGTCATTTTGTACTTGAGTATTTTTACAGTGTGTTATTAGTAATTTTATTTAAGTAAAAGGTCTGCATACTTCTTCCACCACTGATTAGCTTTAACCTCAACTGCTCCACTTTACCAACCATCTGTGACGATGTGGACTGTTTGTCCACCAGGCTGCTGGGCAAGACATCTGACTCGTGCATTCCTGGGTTCATGCGGGCACCCATGTGTAAACAGGTGTTTGCTTTGCTGAGCCGAAGTTTAAAAATCAATTTCCAATGGGAATAAATCACCAATTATAAGCTGTGGGATGGACCAGGTGAACAGGTTCTGCAACTGAGGTAACTTTAGTTCAATGATAGCTGTTCCTGCCTGACTTCCCTGGGGCGGAATGAGATGCATCAGATATGCACTCGGTCTGCCAAACAGTCAGCCAAACAACACAAACACATGACAATCTACAACAAACAGCTGCTTCACAATCAGAGGGTAACAATTTCTCCCACTGAGGATCCGGTGAAGATATAATGCTACTGTATCTGCTCTCGGTATAAGCTTAGTGCAGAACTCTTTTTATAATAACAACAAGGGCAACAGTTTTGTAAAGATTACCCTGCTGTCTTCTGTTGCCTCTATATTAAAGCAGATAGCTTCACCTCAGATAACTGTTAGTCTGCTGAATTGCTGCCTCAGCATTTTCAAGGTCCGTCCTACACCCAGGGCTTGGGAGAGACAACAGTCCATAAATCTTAACTCAACATGGTGGTTGAGATTGGTTTACACAGAACTCAAAGACTTTAGTTTGAATGTTTTTTGAAATGTTTCCCCAAGTGGGCACACCATTCGAGGCCGACTGATCTGGAGTGACTGGATCTTTGTCTGGAACCATTTTATTTATACTGACGAGGCTAGACAGAATCTCATGACTTGAAATCTGTCTCTTGTTGGGACATGAGGATGCCATGCTGCATCAGGATTATACTGTAGTTGTTTCCCCAGTAGCTAGACCACTCCTCTGTTATTCAGCACGTTGGATTCCCCATGTCAGTGACTAACACACTTTACTACAAGACACTTACACATGCATCATGATACAATCATCTGTGAACCCAGCAGTCATCATCGCCTCTTTCTTCAGACCAGACAAATGGAACACTGTAAGTCAGTGCCCTGCTTTAGTGTATTACACAGTGTCCATCACATTGCTCCTACAAGGGAGATAAACCATAATCAAAGTCTAAAGAGGCTTACTTGTTTACATTCATAAATGGGGAAAAGGGAAAGCTAACAGCAAAGGAGACATAAAGGGTATTCAAACAGTGATTGTAGTGGAAAGGGAGGTCATGTTGAGTGCTGCAACAATGTTTGAATTCCTGATAGCCTGGCTGGAATAATTCAATTAAAGCAGACCTGAACACCCTGGAAACAAAATGTTTTCAAAATAGGTCAGTGGCTACAGAGCCGAGTTAAGGAGATCAGATTATTCCAGTTGTATTCCAAGTCTTTGAACCATAAATACAACACAGATACAATCCCAAACTGCAGTCTCAGGGCCTTTTAAGCAACTTATTATATAAAAATGTGACAAATCTTTGCAAGTTTTATATCAAGCAGACAAAAAAGAGGAATAGGCATGGGTTTTCAAGTAATACCAGACACTCATTACCAAGTCAACTAAACCCTCTCTAGTCTGTTCCACCCATCTATAAAACCCATTGTCTCCTTTTTATGATTTCTGCCCCAATTCAATGTCTATTCCCCGAGTAGGCAGAATGTCAGCCTGTTCATTTCACAGAAGAACAAAACGTCTCCACAAACTGAAACCCAACACCTCTGCCTGGAGACTGCGCCTCATCCAGCCAATCACCAGAAGAGTTTCAGACCTCATCGGTCGGGCTCTCAACAATGTGGTTTGTAAGCGAGTCAAATGACACACTGCCAGGAGCTGTGTGCTGTGAGGTTACTAGCGGTCAATGAACTATAGTAGACCCTGTTGAATATCTTCCCCCATGGTGTGGGCTGAATGGAAAGTCAGACGGTTAAACTTAAAAAGAAAAGTTTTAGCATTGTGTTATTTATCAGAACGTTGCAAATATCAAGCTCTAAATAGCATGTGCCTTTGCTCTGTTCCAAGTTGAACTGAAAGCTGTACAGCATTAAAACAAAGAAGCTGTTTGTATGCTAACTGCCTTCTGTTGCAGGCTGGTGCTCTGTACTGCATGGTAAAACAGTGATTAAAGAACAGCAATCAAAGTTTAGGCGCCAAACAAATAAAACAAATCTGTCGTTCTTCGGAAAGGTCTAAAAAAATAATAATCAGGGTAGGTTATTCCAGTTCAGGAGGAAACAAACTCTTATGGAGGCTAAAAGCTACTAATTACCGACAATGAAGCATGGCAATAAAGAAAGGGAGGTTAAGGCCCGCAGGCTTCTTGAGTGATCTTTGGCTTGATTGTCTCTTTAGCCTGCAACAGTTAGTTACACATTTTAACTTGTGTGTGACCGGAATAAATAACCTTGAACGTTTTGATAGAAAAGCTTGATGATTAAGCTGAATCGTGCAGAATATCAAGTATACTATTGTTACTCAAAAGTTTTGTAGGGCTGTTGTATTTTATTATTAATGTAATTGTTGGTATCCTGCAAAGTCAAACCTGTTATTGGAACATATTTGTTCTCAGTTGATCTATTCTACAAATGCTACATTAAATTGAAGCCTCTCCAATCCATTCACTCTGGGGAAGGCAAGGAAACACCCTGTTGCAGGTCAACACACACCATCACCTCTGCCTCTAGTACCACTGACCTGCATGTCTCTGAACTGCCTGGGGTGATGTAAGAAGGAAGGAACAGTGTCATGTGAGAGCAATGACATTAGTAGAGCAAAGTTCTTAAAATTAGCTTTAAATAATTGTAGTGTGGAATTATGTCCAGACCGTTATGTCCTATTTAGGGAAATAAATGTCTTGTCTTTTAGTTTTCTTAGCATTATTATTAGTTATTAGCTAGCGCCTGCTTGGTGGAACAAGGAACTCTTCATTGGAATAAAATAAAAATAATTGCATGCAAATAAATATACAATTATTAATAATGATTTTTCATTTGTTAAAACTAATGTGGCTTCTTGTTTAGATTTCAGATAAACATAAGCTTAAACCATGGGGCGGTAAACATGTTAACAATCAAGACCTCTAATACATCCTGTACCAACAGCTTTGCCCTTTCAGGACATCCAATGTTTGCCTGATCAGAATGTTAAATCCAAGTGCTAATGAAGGGAAAACATTCACATACTTAAAGCAGAGGCACCCCTTAGCAAGTGGGGTTAAATGATGCAGATAACACTGGCTGTTTTGTTGAGGCCCTTGGGCCAGAATACCATAACCAATTAAAAAAAGTGTCCATCAGTGAATGCTCACAGAAACACAGGGCAAATCAGATGTGTTTACACAATAATTTGGACATTTACGAGATTTATAAAACAAGCTTGGTAGAGTTGTGCGAGTGAGAATCTTAAGCAATGAGATTAGGAAAATAGGGTCTTAGAAGCAGAGGATACGGCTGCCATGGAATCAAGCTCAACTTAAGCCGTGTAACTTAAATAGATAGCCTTTTTTTCAGTAGTAGAAACCAAACCTAGGTGAAAAGTTTACAAAAGTATTATTGAGTCTAGGAAATGGGTTTAAATACTATGACTATGGTTTTATCCTGGATAGTGCAGTTTCGAGGTAAATTAGACCCTACCAAAGAGAAGGAAGATAAACATAAGCAAGTACCCAAATATTCAGCTGCATGTGAGCAAGAACATGCAATTGACCTGCGAGGCTTTACGTGGAAGCAGAGTACACAGCAGCTTATATAAGCAGCTCTGTGCGCCCAGTGCACTGCAGGTTATGTAATAAGGCCTATAAGGACAGCGCTGAAAAAGAGGCCCTCCCCGCAGCTCCACTGAGAGTCGTGGAACCATGCAGTCCTTTTTGCTGTGTGTACGTTCTGAGGGGAACCTTAACTCCCGCTCATATTAATACTGAAGTGACTCATGCTTGGTTTTAACTTTTAAAACTCGTTCACAAATTGACATTGTTCGTGAGAGTAGATAAGGCGGTGTTGTGTCATATCTAAATTAACAACAACTTAACAATTGGACTCATTCCAAGAGGTATGTGACTAACTGCAATGTGCAATGTGTTTGCCATTGTGAGCTCTGCATGCTTGCCTGCCTGGAAGCATGCCTGCACTCAGAACATGGAGGCAGTGGTAGCCTAAAGTAGGTCAAAGGTGACCACAACATGGATATGTTAAATGGGACCTTAAAGAAAAGGAAATGAGAAGCAGAAATGCCATGTATCATTTCACAACACATTTAAATGATATAGCAGTTTCTCCAGACATGCGAGTTTCCCCAAAATGCCCCTGTTGTGTATTGTCAACATGTCGCCCTGTGTTGAGCTTGCTTATAATCACATCTGAGCAGATGGATGGCAGAAAGGCTCTGCCAAAATCAAACTCATAACTTGACAGCATGTTGGTGTGTGCCATGTGTGAGTTTTTATTAGCAGCACCCCTTGCTTGCCATCTAACATCTTTATCTCACCTTTTTTTTTTTGTACAAAACCCCATGACCCCCACCCCGCAAGCCATCTGTTGATAACCCCTGCTTATCTGGTGGAGCTCAGAGAGCAGGCAAGTGTCTTCAACGATCACACTCTCCCCCGTGCCTTTCACTTTTTTTCTTCAAAAGAAAAAAAAAGGAAAAGTGGAATATAGGCCACAATGAGAGAAACAGCTGAAGGAGAGCCAGTGGTGAAGTGGAGAACAACAGAGCTTAGCAGAATGCCAGGCAATTACTGGCCGAGGCAGATACATGTCGGTTTAATGAACCCTTCTAGTTGCACGCTGTGTTTGAGTGTGAAAGAGAGGGGGCAAGAGCAGCCCACCAAAACAGATTCCCATCCAAAGTCTGCCCTGCCTTCTCATCTATGGTTCCAACTTCCAACCCTGCAGTATCAAACAATGACGGCGCCACCTGAGGTGAGAATAACATCCACAGCATCACACAGACACTGTGTGTTAAACAAGTCTTTGGGCAGTTTCCGAGAGCAATTGCTATTTATAACTTTAAAATGAAACTGGGGACATGAATAGCCGAGTCAGGAATTAGACTTGTTATTTTGTTTCAAATATTTTGTTTCCTCAAGCTAAGATAATTGTGTAAACTGCCAGGGGAAGTTTTGTTTGGTTGGCCATTGTTTTACTAAAATAAATATAGCTGGGATAAAATATCTCTCAAAGAGCACAGAAAAGAATATCTGTAAAATGTATAGCCGGGTGCGTTCAAACATGATTATAAATCTCACTATGTACACAGAGACTCATATTGATAATATCCTATGAAGGAAAAAACACTAGACACAGGCCCATCTCAGTTTCCATACAGCATCTGCAAAAGAAAATCGAATAGTGGAGTGTGCTTTTGTTCAGACAAAAAATGGCCACAAACAATTGAAACAGAAAAAGCACAACAAAAGTTATTTGGAGTTGAATGGGGGCAGTGACAGAGGTTCTGGCTGTCGCACAGAGGATCCCTGGGGGCAGATGCAGAGCTACACAAACCCCCAGGGCGGCTGGATCACATTTCCTGCCCAAACGAACTTTAGTAACCCCGGCTCAGCGAAGAGGTTACTACAGGGCATTCGACTGTATTGTACACAGTGATTAGATTAGGCTGTGGAAACTGTAACAACGAGTTTGTTTTTCCATCATGTGCTCATTATTGCATGTCTTATGCATTACTAAAAGTGTTTCAATAAAAAACATAATCTAGATTTGATTTCTGGTAAATTTGAAGCGGTTCACTAGTTGTGAGATAATGTTGCAAACAGGAAGTGGAAACTTTATCTGTTCAAAGGCCCATAAACAAATGTGAAGACGTTCATGTTGCATGCAAACAAAGTCTGTGCACGCACGTGAGATGTTAAACAAACCTCGTCTGTTCCTGCAGAATGAGATGGGGCTCCACAAAGAACTTGACCCTCAGCCTCAGTCGACACGGCGTCACGTTATCCATCTGCTGACAGATGCGATTCCTCAGATTCAGCCACAGGTTCTCTCCTTTGCTGCCCGTGAACTGCAGCCCAAAGTAGTCCACTTCAATTATGCCCAACTTTCTGCAAACCTGGAAAGAGATTAAAGAATCAGAATCCCTTTATTCGTACTACAGAGGGGAAATGTACATGTGTTACAGCAGAAAAGAGCCAAAGACAGCTTAATGTTAACTAAGAAGCATGCATATTTTTTTTGTTTTAAAAAGATAAAAAAATTACACAATAGAAAAATAGAAAAAACTGTTTCTAACATATAGCACCCAGGTATGTATATTGCACATTTATTAACAAACAGGGTCACATAATGGTTTTTGAAAAAATAAATGAGTAAAAAGGGATCTTATCAGTCATTTGAAGAGTGTATGGGACATCAGATAGAGGTAGCTTTACAGTTCATTTGAAAGTGCATCTTTCTTTGACTTTACACTCAACATTTTGAGTTTTTACAGCAGGCTTAAATGTCATTGAAGAAGACTATAGGGGGGCAAGAATCAACACATTTCCCGAGAATCAATAAAGTTTCGCAAGATTTAAGAGGCGGAGGAAGATAGGGCTGCTTTTATCACTTAGTTTATTAGGATTTCTGCTCCCCTGGTGCTACTCTCACAGATAAATCCCATCAATATTCTAAAGCACACGATAGGATTGAAGTAAATTGGAGGCTCTCTCGGGGTAAAGGGGCTCATCAAACCCACAATCCCACGCCCCCTTAGCGGCTATTACATAACTGCTGGTGGTGGTCTGCAGGGAGCCCGGAGGATGAGATAAAACTCATTCATACCCACGGCAAGTTGCCATGCATTTGAAGTAGCTTTTTAAAAAGTGGGGGAAAAAACAACTTAAGACTATTGATGAAAGGAAAAGTTCGCATGCCACCCTGTTTATGTCCACTTTAGGAAAAGAGGTAAATGTCAGCAAGCAACGAAGTAGCGAGAACGCTGAGTGCCTACAAAAGGCAGAAGAAGAATGAACTCAAGTAACCTGGACAAAGCGATCTGCCTCTGACTAAGCCATGCAGGTAGACGACAGCAGTGTTACCACAATGCATCAGAACTTTCCTTCATGTACATCAAGTCGTGCTTTTCGAGAATGACTCGACATCCTAAGGTTTCATTGTCCTGAACAGATGTTTGGTTTTTGGCACGATGCGCGCAGGAGAACATTTTGTTTCCGCGTACCCATGTGCAAAAATAAGGCTGATGTATCCATAGTTGTGTTAACAGATTATATCCACAGTTAATGTTATGTCAAGCAGCCGATACATCTTATTTAGCATTCACCGTCGTTGAATTTCTCAATTTTTATACCCACACATTGGAGTCAAATTAACAATTGAGCTGAAGTTTAGTAACATCTAAACTTTCGCCAGGCAACAAAATCATCGCTACCACCTATATGCTGACAATGACACTGCATTTAAAAAAAGGTATTATATTAACAAAACGTGATGTGTTCTCCACCACAGCTTACCTTATTCAGACAGTCTTCACCGTTCGCCTTCGCATCAACTTCCACTTCCATCACCACTGAATCCGGACGAGTAACGTGGCAGAGCATTTTGGCTGTGTATTCTGCTAATCTTTGGTTTGCCACCTTTAAAAAAAATAATAAAACACTTCTCGAGCCTTCTTTAAAACCCCCAACATCAAGCCTTCGTCACTTTCATAGCCCTTCCAGTCCGTGTGGCGAATCTGGAGCCACCAGCTGTAGGCTATATCAATGAAATGCCATGCACGGCTCCGCCTTCGTACAGCTGTCCAATGGGAGTGAGTTTCACATATCCGCTGCAGAACCTAAACCAATCAGAAGTCGCGTTACAGCCGCACGCTTCTCCGGCTTGAGCTCACCTCCCGTGTGAGGAAGTGTGAGGGAGTGCACTGTGCCCTCGCCTGGCTCGCCTGTTGCGCGAAGCCTAAGTGGCTTTTCGACTCACCTGCTCCTAATAAATAGACATTTGAACGAACTTCAGTAGACCTTAGGGTGAGTTTAATGGCTTGTATACGGGTTCCCCCTCGGTTAGAGTGAATAATGTATAAGAATGCAGTCTACAAATAGCCACGTGGTTGGAAAAATAACCTGCAAAGCTACTCTGTCCAAAGCTTACATGAATGTTTAATGAAGGGGTCTCAGTAGGCTTTCCAACTCCACCTTTCCCTGCTTGTGTAACTTTGTATCCTTGAACTGGGGTCACGTGTGCTTGAATAACACTTTTAATTTAAGTTACACTTTTAAGAAGGTTATCAAAGGGTTAAGATAAAGGTAACTTCAACTGTCTTTAGATTCAAGAGAGGTTTTGTTGTCATGCACAAATAGCTAGTGTTTAGTGCTGCAGATAGGAAGAATAATCAAATCACAATGAGATTGTGATGAAAGTTGTATGGCATCTCCACAAGTTAGTTCAACCTCCAACCTTTTATTAATATTTCAAATGTTTCCCCTTGGCTAATTAATCACTCCATTGTTGTTTGTTTCCTACAGTACCTTGGTGTGTAACCAATTGACTGATTTATGAAGAGCGATTTAATAATTAGGTGAAGAGAACAATTTCAGCCGCATCCTTTCCACAATATGGAACTTTTTGTGATAAATTATTCATCATCAGTAATTTCCACAGTTGGATACAGACTAGGTCAGAAGACACTGCAGAAAACTGCAGGCAAACACTGAGTCATACTTACTCTGGGGAGGCAATGGCATTCGTGTTCAGCCAAGCCCTGTGTGTGTCTGCCAGGGGACATTTTAGGGCAAAGGCAGAGTGCCTCTCCATATTTGTCTACTCTCCCACCACTGCATTCCCGATGCAGCATCAGTGACTCCGATACAATCACTTCCTCATTAAGTTACAGAATTAAAGCACTTATTTAGAGTGAGATGACTTTCAAATGAATAAATACCACATGTGTGAGGACTTTCTTTATCTGGCTGTTCAAGAAAACAATTTATGCTGATTAAACTGCAATCAGATACAAAATAAGTCATTGATGTGTTTCTGGCTGAGCTGAGGTGAATGATCAATCTTGCCAATTCAATGAGCACCAGACATTTTTACTTTGACATCATTCCCTAAAACGTGTGACTAGTGTTGTCATGATCCTGGAATTTGTATCTTTGAAACAAAACCTTGATTAAATATCAATATTCATTATAATTTTTGACACCACCATTGAGGGCATAAAACTTTAGATTTGTGTTAACAAATCTACAGCATTATGTGTGTATACTTGTTGTTGTTGAAAAAAGGTAGAGCAGAGAGCTCAGCTGGTACTCATGTGTATGTACTGCAGCAAATAAGCATTGAAAGCAATTTGAAATATTCAGTATCAATTCTCAGATTCTTTTCAACACTTTGTTTGACACGTTCATCACGGATCTGGTTCAAAGGTTGACCGCACAGAGAAAGGGCCACACCGACTTTTGGTCAACTCTAATCTTTTTATTTATCTTATATTCACTATTATTGTTTTATTTTCTATCTGGCATTCTATTTCTTTTTTTCTTAATGTAATGTTCTGCATTTCCTCATCCCCGCTCATGATATATGTAACAGTTCATGAAGGTATTCTCATATCTGCTACCTATCTGGCATCATTCCAGTGACCCTCTATCTTACTGATATGCAGCCCCGTACACCAAAATGTACTCACCAGATACTATCAGCTGTAACATGTGTGTCTTTCTGCGATAAGGTCGGCTGGTCTGGAGTCTGCAGTGGCCCCATGTCCCGAGATGATGCAAGAAGGTGTACGATGAATGTGATGTACAGTCTGAAAAGCCGTCCTAACCATAAAAGGAAAAGCAAGGAAGATAGCGAGTGACCTTACAACCTGTCGACGTGGGACAGGAGGTACTCACCGAGCTGGCATACAGACGCCCACGTACACTCATACTCTACACATAGAGCACTAAGGGGTGCACTCAGGGTCTCTGTCCCTAAAGACCTTTCACTATCTATCAACATGTAGGCAAAAATTGATAAGCATGAATAAATTATCTCATGTAATAGAAGAGCATTGTTGTACAAAATAAATTGGATGTTTTCGTATATTTCGTTATATTTTCTTGCCACCCTCTATTTAAATCTTCCTTTTGGTACACTTACAGATTGTTGAAACACTCCTGGGTCTAAATACTCACATCGGGACCTTACAAATACCTTTTTTACACAATTATACTTTGAGAACAAAACGAAAAAGAATCGAAAAGAAAATATATATTATTTGGAATACTAATGCAACAGTGACTGCAATAAGAGCTAGAGTCAAATGAATAGGGGAAAATGAAAAACAACATGTATCTATTAAGACTGCCCTTTTGCACATCTAGGTCAATTTTGGACGGCGCACATCTTTTTTTACCATCTGCGCTCTCGCTCACACAAACCATTTTCAGACTCCTGGTTCGCGGCTAGGTATGACATCATGCAGTTTGACATCACTTCCCTTTGAGGCAAGTCACGGCTCACTCGACTGGAGCGTGAACACATAGCTGTGTGTGTGTGTGTGTGTGTGTGTGTGTGTGTGTGTGTGTGTGTGTGTGTGTGTGTGTGTGTGTGTGTGTGTGTGTGTGTGTGTGTGTGTGTGTGTGTGTGTGTGTGTGTGTGTGTGTGTGTGTGTGTGTGCGTGTGTGTGTGTGCACATGACAACACAGCGTCATCGCTGCCCATCTCCATTGCTAAAGCTGTGCCTCTTGAAGCAGAGATTATGTCAGAAAGTGCCATGCTAACAGAGCTGCGGCTGTTGTTGTTGTTGTGATAGCCTTGATTACATTTATTTTTTCGTTCCTATCAATATATTTTCTTGTAAGCCGAAAGAAGACCAGCAGAAGGCAGCTGATATATTAGGCAAAACGAGAGGCTTATTTGCCCAAATATGAGGAAAGGCCAGAGGGCGAGTAGCTCCTCTCAGTCCGAAGAGAATCCAGGGTCAACAGATTGCAAAGATCAGTCCTCGCCACATGGATGCTCATCGGATGAAGATTCATCTTCACATTCAGATGTGGAAGCAGAAAGAGCGATGAAGAGGAGCCAGAAGTTCAACGGCTCTTTCAGCTTTGGAGAAGATCCTCAGCTACAGCCAGAGAATGTGGACAGAGAAGAAGAACTGTCGCCAACAAACTCTAATGGAGTAGCAGAGCTGGTGGAAGCAGAATTATCAGCACATTGCATGCTATTGGAGAAACAAGGTGCTGTTTGTAACACACATCAGCCTCAGAGGTCAGGTCCCTTCAGGCCTCAGGAAGTATGGCTGGCCATGACGAGATGTCTCTCCCTCCGATGGCCTCCTTGTCTGTCCATCAACAGACAAAGTACCAGGAAAGTAGCCTACCATGTGGACCTTGATCAATCAGAGGACACACAGTCTTCCGTCAGCTCGGAATCAACCAATGGGAGCTCTTCGAATACATCTACCTCTGATGAAAAAGAATTGACATCGGTGAAACACGAGAAAGAGGAAGTCCGAAGCAGGGGGGTTAAAAGTGGTCCGCCCCCTTGTCGTGGCGTTTCCCGATCCTCCCCGAGACTGCCAAGAGCCAGACCAGCTGCAGACTCCGTGTTAGCTTCACTGATCTTGGAGAAAGACATGTTTTTGAGGATTGAACTGGTAGATTCAGGCGATGAAAGAGATGATTTGCGCTACCGGGCAGAGTGGAAGCTGTCACAGAGAACTAAGGAACTGGCAGAGGGAGTCTGGCTCTCTCGAAGCCAAACAAAGTGATGGATTGACCTATTAAGTTAGAGGTTTGGTTGCTTTTTATGGGGTAGACTTTATATCATTTACCCATGAAGGTAGATTAGTTATTGCAACCCTCGTTAAAGTGGTTATTATGACCATTTTAACTTAGTGTGAGTGCTGATTGGAAGTGACCTGGATTGCAATAAATAATCAGTAAGATTGATTTTGCTTGATGGCTGTGTAAACTGCTGTGTGCTGATATGAATGCTGTGACCGTAGCTAACTAATTACGAATGCTATTTTCAGAAACACTGCCCTGTTGCTTCTTCCGCCTTTCTGCTTTTCTCAGAGAACATTTTATACATGGCTGGTTCCATGTGTTGAAGGAGGGAGACATAATATAATTTTTCTTGAAAATATTAATAAAGCCTTTTTGTCTAGGAGATATATATATATATATTTTTTTAAAGATGATATAGTATAACATATACAGTTAGAGCGTATTTTGGAAACCCTCGCTGCCTGATCATGCTCTACCCACACAACATTATGTGCGGAGAATTTTTAACATTGATTTTGTTTCTCTTGGTTTGTCTGTACAAACATGTTTAGATGTTATGGCAACATGTGATTTATAGTGATTGTGCTTGGGAAAACTAACAGAGAAGCAATGTGTTTTTATACAGTTATCAAATAAATTCAACACAGGTTACTGTCCAGGCCCATATTAAAATGCCATGGTCAGTGTGTGCCAAGAGTCTTTAGTAAATCCTACTCACGTGTTTTTATTCATTTGCTGAATTTAGTTTCAAAAGTCTCTGACAGCACGTTTAATGTCTTCGGGGGTTTGTGTGAGTAGGAACATGATGGGAATTATTTAAATGAGGTTCATGTCTGTCAGAGTAACTACGTTTCCAAAGTGCTTTAACAGTCTCTCTGCTGAAGATAATTATGAGTAGGATTTTATCAAAGCCCAAATCTAACAGCCTTTCATTACAACATTATGAGACAAAA